ATGATGCAAAGGTTTGGGATTCAGTTCTTACATTAGAACCTGCCGATGATTATGATACCACAGGTATATTTGTATGATTTTGTCTGTGGAGCTATATTGGTGACCTATCTCAATTTTATAACTAATCTCCGATGGATATTCTTTTAGTGAAATGTCTGCAATGATGCAATCAGATGGAGCAGAAACTGCAAAGCAATCATATCCATCCCTTGGTCTTGGAAACTCATTTGCCTTCAAATTTGAAGATCTTAAGGGTCGTATGCATCGATTTAATTGTGGTGGGTGATGTTCCGGGCCAAGATTCTTGCAAGAACTTGGCACTTTTTCCCTAATAATTGTTAAGTTCATATGCTAACAATAAGCAATTAGATGATTGGGGAGAGAAAAAACACTAAGCAACGGTTATTATTTAAAAAAAAGCCTCTAAGTTGACAAGCTTTTCTTTCATTGCAGGAACCGAGAGTTTAGAGGAGCTGATATCTGTTGTTGTGAAAAGACTTGGGAGCAGTGATGATCAAGGTCACCCTCAACTTCTGGTGAGTGTTTGAACACCGTGTTTGGAACAATTTGGTTTCCACTAAATGCTTTACAACATTTTATTATAAAATAAATAAATCCATTACAAATGAGTTCATTGCTCAGTTTATTTACGAATGAGATGAAACTCATCGTTTGTTTATTTAAGACAAAGTGTTGTATGTTTTTAAATTTTATTGCTATGGTAGATTATTAAGTCATTTGTGTTAATTTTTTGGTAGTATGAAGATGATGAGGGTGATAAAATTTTACTCACAACTGATGGCGATCTCATCAGTGCTGTTGGCCAAGCAAGATCAACTGGCCAGAAGGTAATGATTTTTTCCTCTTTGGTAGTTGTTATATAAGATTACATCTCCCCTGGCCTCTCATTTAGGTACCATTTTGATTCTCATGAATTTCTTCATTAACTCCCTGTTTGGAAGGGCTTTTGCTGACTTGCCATGTGGTGGATCAGCAGAGCTTCATGAGATATCCAGTGTTGGGCTTCAGTCATGAGAGAAGCCCAGTAATGGTACATTTAATGCTTTTACAAGAAATCCCTACTGTTTATCCAAAACACCAAACCTGTTGAATGGCCAGACTGTCAGCATAGTTGATCTTGCATGACATGGTGGCCAGTTATGTGAGGTTACATGTTCACTTGTGTGAGGGCGCAATGCCTATTGCATGATGAACCTGGATCCGTAACTGGTCAATGAGTCTTGCAGTGAGCCAATTGTGGCTTAGTTGGATAGAGCAAATATAGAGGAAAACAGACACTGCTGCACTGTAATTCATCTTGAATTAAAGCAAATCCTTTTCTCAAAGTACACAAGGGTTTAAAGGTAGAAAAATGGAGTTGCTACCAAAAAACATTAAGACCAGTTGATCATTAGTATGATATTGTAGTCAAACCTCTTGTATACAATTGCTTTTAGTGATCTTGTATGTGCCTGTTTAATTTCATGTTCCTTACTGAACAGATACTAAAGATGTCAACTCTCTTCACAGGTTTTAAATTGCATTTGGAGTTTCTCAGTTCAAGCATGCAAACTTGCCCGCAGACAAGGACAACTACCATGGAAAAGAGTGGATGGTTGTCTATGAACACAGGTATCTTGGCTAGTGCAACTGTTCTAACAAGTATTGGTGTGCTAGTCTACTTAAAACGCTCGCAGCTATGAGGTTAAAGCCTTATATGAATAAAATATGCTGGATCACAATCGGGGCCATACTACCAGCATTGAGAAATTTTTGTCCTTGAAACGATGGTACAGAAAGCAACTACTGCTAATCCAATGCAAATTACAATCATAGACTCTAGAAAAGTCTGATATAGTGGACCAATACATGAAAATGAGCATGGGAAAAGGAAGATCATGCTAGACTTTTTATATTTATTTGCTTAGATGACGAAAAGTGGAATATGGAATGCCCTGATCATGAACACGGTTTTGGGTTAGGAAGCTGAAGGAGAGAACAGCTTGTGCTGGTGGTGGAGATGGAGGGGGAGGTAGAGATGTTTTTAGTACCCTGACAAGGTAGAGCTTACTTGCATATCATTTTACATGTATCTAACAAATGAGTTCTTCCTGTTATGCTTCCTATACTAAAACAAAAAAAATTATTATCAATTTTTATCCATGTCGATGGCGGTCTACAGTTAAAAGCAGCAAGCAGCAACCGATGTTTATGTTTATTAAGATCTACAGTCAGTTTTAGAACACCGTGAGGTAACAAGTTTAAAGATGATTTGATATTACATCAAGATGAAAGTAATTTGTGGTTGAAATTAATTTGAGGGAAACACATAAGATGACAAGTTTGAAAAGTTTCCACATTTTGATGTTTTAAAATACTTAATGAGCATTTTAGGAATTCTGCTTCTGTATTTGTTGTATCCCCTCCCTCTAATTTCATTATGTTTCATTACTTGCTGAAGTTATTGAATAACTAGTTTGAAGAAAGAAAAAATTGATGAAGGGGAATCAAAATAATTACTTGTGTGTATTGAACAATAAATAATTATTAAAATTATTAGTTCCTCAACATATATATATATATATATGTAAATATAAAGATTATCAGGAAACAATTATCTAAAATCTCAAGTGATAAAGTTTAATTCAATTCTCAGTAGATTACTAGGTACGACTTAGATTTAGAGAATGAAAGATCATGCATTAAATTATTTATGCTAACATAGTTCTTAGTCTCTCATTTCATGGGAAGAGAGATAATATAAAATACTATTTGACAAATTATTAAATTAGTTTTTAAAATTTGATGTTTATTATAATTTAATTAGTAAATATTTTTTTTCTAATTATTTTTAAATATTTTTATTTGTTTTGCAGTTTTTTTTTTTATTTTCTAACGCTAAAAAATTAAAATAATTATATTATTTTTAGATGTTTAAAAAATAACTGAAAACAAAATTTTAAGTAATTAATTAAATTAACAAGCTAATGAAAATATTTAACTATTTTTATTGTTATTAATTTAATTAATTTTGTAAAAGATATTTTTTAGAATCAAAGTACTCAAACATTATTTAATTGTTTTAATTTTTTTTAATTAATAAATTAAAAAAATTATTACGACCGAAATAAATAAATATAAGAAACTAAATTATAATAAATATCAAAATTTAAAAACTAATTAACTAAATTATAAAAAATATTCTTTTCAATTTTTTTTAAAAAACATTTTTTCTCTACTAATTTAAAACATTGTCCATGAAATAAAACTTAAATTAAATTATGAAGAGTAATTTTTCTGACAAATTGAAAAAAATTAAGGCTTCGGATCAGCAGTACTCGTGCCCGGCC